AGGCGGGGCAGTTGGCCATTGGAGCATGTAAGGTGCCCCTTTACCCCCCCCCCCCCATTTCCCTACAGGCTGCGGGGGGGTGTGTGTGTTAAAACTCTGTAGATGAACTTTTGGACTCTGGACTCACCAAGGACAGAGACAGAGACTTTTGGGTTGCTGGACTTTGGGGTTGTTGGGACTTTGGGGGACTTTTGAGTTGCTGGACTCAAGAACCAAAGGGAAAGGACATGACCCAATTTGCTTGGGGTGGGTTTTGCTCATGGGTTGTGTTATGAATCCTGTTGGTGGTGTTTCCCCAACATAATGCCACATTGTTTCTCTCTGTTATTAAAAGGCTTTTGCTACACTCAGACTCTGTGCTTGCTAGAGGGGAAGTATTGCCTCTTAGAGGCACACCAGGGGTGGTGGTATATATTTGTCCCAGGTCACTGGGTCGGGGCTCGAGCCGGTTTTGCATTGTGTTATTGGAACGGAACCCCTAGATACTGAACCCTGCCTTTGTTGCTGCCAACTCTGACCGGCAGAAGGGTTACACATGTATTGAGTAAAAAGAAAAGGAGTACTTGTGGCACCTTAGAGACTAACAAATTTATTTGAGCATAAGCTTTCGTGAGCTACAGCTCACTTCATCGGATGCATTCAGTGGACAATACAGTGGGGAGATTTATATACACAGAGAACATGAAACAATGGGTGTTACCATACACATTGTAACAAGAGCGATCAGGTAAGGTGAGCTATTACCAGCAGGAGAGCGGGGGGGAGAGGGGGGAACCCTTTGTAGTGATAATCAAGGTGGGCCATTTCCAGCACTTGACAAGAACATCTGAGGAACAGTGAGGAGTGGTGGAGAGGGGATAATCATGGGGAAATAGTTTTACTTTGTGTAATGACCCATCCACTCCCAGTCTCTATTCATGCCTAAGTTAATTGCATCCAGTTTGCAAATTAATTCCAATTCAGCAGTCTCTCATTGGAGTCTATTTTTGAGGTTTTTTTGTTGAAGTATTGTCACTTTTAGGTCTGTAATCGAGTGACCAGAGAGATTGAAGTGTTCTCCAAATGGTTTTTTAATGTTATAATTCTTGACGTCTGATTTGTGTCCATTTATTCTTTTACGCAGAGACTGTCCAGTTTGATCAATGTACATGGCAGAGGGTCATTGCTGGCACATGATGGCATATATCACATTGGTAGATGTGCAGGTGAACAAGCCTCTGATAGTGTGGCTGATGTGATTAGGCCCTATGATGGTGTCCCCTGAATAGATATGTGGACACAGTTGGCAACGGGCTTTGTTGCAAGGATAGGTTCCTGGGTTAGTGGTTCTGTTGTGTGGTGTGTGGTTGCTGGTGAGTATTTGCTTCAGGCTAGGGGGCTGTCTGTAAGCAAGGACTGGCCTGTCTCCCAAGATCTGTGAGAGTGATGGGTCGTCCTTCAGGATAGGTTGTAGATCCTTGATGGTGCGTTGGAGAGGTTTTAGTTGGGGGCTGAAGGTGATGGCTAGTGGCGTTCTGTTATTTTCTTTGTTGGGCCTGTCCTGTAGTAGGTGACTTCTGGGTACTCTTCTGGCTCTGTCAATCTGTTTCTTCACTTCAGCAGGTGGGTATTGTAGTTCTAAGAACGCTTGATAGAGATCGTGTAGGTGTTTGTCTCTGTCTGAGGGGTTGGAGCAAATGCGGTTGTATCGTAGAGCTTGGCTGTAGACAATGGATCGTGTGGCGTGGTCTGGATGAAAGCTGGAGGCATGTAGGTAGGAATAGCGGTCAGTAAGGTTTCCGGTATAGGGTGGTGTTTATGTGACCATTGTTTATTAGCACCGTAGCGTCCAGGAAGTGGATCTCTTGTGTGGACTGGTCCAGGCTGAGGTTGATGGTGGAATGGAAATTGTTGAAATCATGGTAGAATTCCTCAAGGGCTTCTTTTCCATGGGTCCAGATGATGAAGATGTCATCAATGTAGCACAAGTAGAGTAGGGGCTTTAGGGGACGAGAGCTGAGGAAGCATTGTTCTAAGTCAGCCGTAAAAATGTTGGCATACTGTGGGGCCATGCGGGTACCCACAGCAGTGACATCATAATCAAAAAGGCTGACAAAGGTGGTGCTGTTGTCATCATGAATAGGTAGGAATATGAACAAGAGGCTGCTAGGCAGCTCTCTAACACCACTTTCTACAAGCCATTACCCTCTGATCCCACTGAGGATTACCAAAAGAAACTACAGCATTTGCTCAAGAAACTCCCTGAAAAAGCACAAGAACAAATCCGCACAGACACACCCCTGGAACTCTGAACTGGGGTATTCTATCTGCTACCCAAGATCCATAAACCTGGAAATCCTGGACGTCCCATTATCTCAGGCATTGGCACCCTGACAGCAGGATTGTCTGGCTATGTAGACTCCGTCCTTTTCTTTTTGCGAATACAGACTAACACGGCTGCTACTCTGAAACATGTATTGAGTGTACTTGTAGCATGTATAGGGCACTAATACCGTGCTTTGTAGGTAATAAACCTGGCCAAGTGCCTTTGCCACTGACCCGACTCCGGTCTTCTTGGGCAGTTCCATCAAAGTCTGCTATCTGGCCAGAGCTAATGCAGCATGCAGAGAGAAAAAACACACACACACACAGCCAACAGCTGACAAAAGACACTAGGCTGTTGAGCGGGAACATAGCGGTTGCCAATGTTCTGATCGCACAAAATCAAACACCTCTGCCCCGAGACCCTGCTCACTCCATCCCTCCTCCGTCCGTCGCTTGCTCTCCCTCACCCTCACTCACTTTCACCAGGCTGGGGCAGGGGGCTGGGGGGATGAGGGCTCCGGCTGGAGTGTGGGCTCTGGGATAAGGCCAGGGATGAGGGGCATGGGATGTGGGAGAGGGATCTGGGTTGGGGTGCAGGGGGTGGGGGTTATGGGCTCTGGCCTGGAGATCTGGGCTACAGGTGGGGCCAGAAATGAAGGGCTCAGGGTGTAGAAGAGGGCTCTGGGATGGGGTAGGGGGTGGGGATTCGGGCTCCGGCTGGGGGTATGGTCTCTGGGGTGGTGCAGGAGAGGGCTCTGGGCTGGGTATGAGTGGTTTGCAGTGCGGGAGGGGTGTGGGCTCTGGTGTGGGGCTGGGGATGAGGGGCTTAGGGTGCAAGAGAGGGCTCCAGATTGGGGCTGAGGGGTTCGGAGTGTGGGAGGGGGTCCGGGCTCTGGCTGGGGGTGTGGGCTCTGGGGTGGGGCCAGCACTGAGGTCTTTGGGGTGCAGGCAGGAGCTCTGGGCTGGGGCAGGGCATTGGAGTGAGGGAGGGGATGATGGTTCCGGCTGTGGGAGTGGGCTGGGGATGAGGGACTTTGGGGTGCAGGAAGGGGCTTAGGGCTGGGGCAGGGGGTTAGGGTATGTGGGGGGTGCAGGCTCCAGGAGGAAGTTTGGGTGTGGAAAGGGACTCTGGGTTGGGGCAGGGGGTTGGGGCACGGGAGGGGGTGCGGGGTCCTGGCACTTCCCACGGCTCCCAGGAAGTGGCCATCAGGTCCCTGCGCCCCTAGGCGTATGGGCAGCCAGGGAGGTTCTGCGTGCTGCCATTGCGTCTGCAGGTGCTGCCCCCGCAGTTCCCATTGGTCACGGTTCCCAGCCAATGGGAGCTGCAGAGTTGTCACTGGGGGTGGGGGAAGTGCGCAGAGCTTCCCTGGCCGCCCATGAACCTAGGGGCCACAGGGACCCAGCAGCTGCTTCTGGGAGCCGCGTGGAGCCAGGACAGGCAGGGAGTCTGCTTTAGCCCCTCCCCCCACTGCGCTGCCGACTGGAGCGGCCAGTGTGCCTTTTCGAGCTGGTGTTCCGGTCAAAAACCAGATGCCTGGCAACCCTAGCTCAGGTACCACAGTGACAGAGGATCTGGGCATAGGTATTTTTCAGCAAGTTCCTGAATCCTGCACGGGTCCTTTATATATCTGCATATGAAGACAAGGACAAAAGCCACTCCTTAGGTGCTCAGGAAATGTCTGCCCCTATTTAAATGCCACTGATGAAGGTATAGGGACTAATGTACCCAAGTTACAGCTGTTTAGGTGCTAGGTGATGCTAGGTTTTTAGCTGTAGTTGATACAGCTCTTGTGTGAGTAGCACATGTAGGCCATACTCATCATTACATGGCTCCTGATTCCACCCCCTTTTCTGTTCTCTGTGGATGTCCTATACAGCATCTTGAATATTACAGCCTTCAGAGTCAATATAGAAGATTGTCCCCTGACTGGTAACAACACGCTTCCATTTTGTAGTATAAACAAGACCTCTCTGTTTCATTCCTGAATCATGCCAAAGCATTGCACAAGTCAGAGCCATTGTCTAAACATAGTTAGGGGCCCATTTGCACAGCAAAATGGAACCATGCTGTAACAAGGTTACTTCATGGAGTGAGTTGCTATAAGGGGCTGTCCAGGAATTATGTAACGTGTAAGGAGGTAGGTGAGCCCTTAATTCTGCATGTTTGTTTCAGTGTTACAAAGTATTCCAAAGGGTGGATTGGTCTTGAAAAATCACCAAAAAATGTGGTACGTTATTTATGGACAGTCCCTAAATTTTTCCCCTTTGCACTTCAGAGGCGAGGAGGGAGTGAATTTTCCTAGTGTTTGGTCCAAGGGAGAGGATATTCAGTGTGTGCGCACTGGTGAGTATCTTTATTTTCAAATTCTTTATAGACTAGAACTTTTGTAACCAGAACTGTAGGAGCAATAACTACTAACAGTTCCAGAGTAAATAAGGCCTGTTAAGCTGGAGAGATGTAAGATGTGTGACTTGAGGTGACTCTACTGCCTGGTCAAACTGGTTGTGTGTGAGGGTGTGTGTGTGTGTGAGCTAGCTAGGGAATGTACATTTAAAAGGAAATGGGGGGAGAGCTTGAGAAAGCAAGAGGCCAGCAGGAATGAAGAAACAGATTAGTGTGCTGCATTCGGGTTGTATTTAAAAAAGAGATTTACTGAGTGGGAGTTAAAGAAATCTAGACAACATTAGAAAACTACCTTCATCTTCTGCAACACTTTTTCCGCTTGAGTGCTGATTTTTGGTTGAATACTGGTAGCCTTTTTAGCCTGCTCTCTTGTTTACAATGTATGGTTAAGGAACAATTTGCTCAGATGGGCAAAAGATCAGACTAATACAGTTTTATTATTTCCAACATTCATTTGGTAACTGGGAGCATATTAGTGGTGGTTTTCTCATTTTGTTGCTAAAATTACTACAATCAGAATAAAGAAAAGGAGTACTGGTGGCACCTTAGAGACTAACAAATTTATTTGAGCATAAGCTTTCATGAGCTACAGCTCACTTCATCGGATGCATGCAGATCAGATGTGTAGGCATCCCACTGTGCAACTCACCACTGTCCCCAGTGCACAATCCTTTGGGAAGTTTTAGCAATGCATGATGGGTACAAGCAAGGACTTTCTTTCCCAATTGGCAGATTACCATTGGAAATGTGGAAATGCCAGGGGTGAAAGTAGGCCGGTACGGCATACCAGTAAGAAGCCAGTACTAGTCTGTACGCAGCCGATGTTAAAGCGCTGCCCCTTTTGCTCCCCTCCGGGCCGCTGATGCCGGGGGGGAGAAGAGGGAGAGGGGGCGGACAAAAGGAGCAGCTGCCCCAGGGGGCCGGCGATTTAAAAGGGCCCGGGGCTCCTGGCTGCCATTGCTGCTACTGTGGCAGTGGCTGGCGCCCTGGGCCCTTTAAATCTCTACTGGAGCCCCGGGCGGCGTGGGCCAGGCAGCGCGGATGGGCTGGCTGGGGGACTGATCCCCAGCCCCTCCCCTTCTGCCTGAGGTCCTGCCCCTTCTGGGGGCCTGGAGCCATGCCCCCATACCGGTAAGTGTTTAATATTACTTTCACCCCTGGGAAATGCTAATAGTAACCCTGGGGGACCCAGCCTACCCCTTGCTCCCCTGACTCATGAAGCTGTACAGCAACCAGCTCAACAGCACTACATTCTTCCTTCTGCTCGGGATTGCTTGTGCATGGTGCCACGGCACCCGCCATGATGAGCGTGGCCTTTCAGAGGTTGGGGAAATGAAGAGGGAAGTTCTCAGTTGCATGATTCTAGTAGTACAGGGCAATGGGACTGAATAGTGGCGCCCTTTTCCACAGGAAGTGGGGATTTTAGCTGACATCTCAGTCCCGAGGGTAACAGAAGCAGAGAGAGCACAGCTGCTGTTGGTGTCTCGAGCCGCCCAGGCTTATATGCATGGGCAGCCGGTATAATAGGCCAGGGCGCTGCCGCTGACCTGCCGCCAGACAACTGGGCCCCACCCCTTCCCCAACGCAGCGAGCCAGCAGCTGGCTGACTGAGGAGGCTTGGCCGGGTGCTGGGGCCGGCAGCTTGAAGGGGGGGGAGGTGGGAGGAACTGGCGCTCGGGAAGGCTGCCAGCTCAGCTCGGCGCTGGGGCCGGCCCGACTCTGGCGGTGCTGGGGCCGGCCCGGCGCTCGGGTGGGACCAGCAGTTCGGCCCACTGCTGGGGACAGCCCGACGCTCGGGGTCGGGGGGGGAGAGGGCGGTGGCTTGGCCCGGCACTCGGGGGGTGGAGGGGCAGGTGGCTCGGCCCAGCACTGGGGCTGGCCTGGGGCTCAGGAGGGGAGTGGGCGGTAGCTCGGCCCAGTGCTGGGGCCGGCCTGTCGCTGGGGCCAGCAGGTGTGGGCTCCTCCGGTCGGAGGGGGGACCCTCAGGGCTTTTCCTTTTGGGGGAGTTCGGGGCTCCAGTGGGGGGCGGGGTCTTGGATGGAAGGGGCGGGGCTTGCAGGCTAGCCTCCCCAAAGCAGGGGTTCACCTGGCACCCATGCCCATATGCTGCTTATCTGTGTACTGCAATGGTGCCTGCTGAAGTAACTGCTGAGTGGTGTGGGAAAGTATCCTACTGTGGAGGAAGAAATAAGGCAGCCCTCCCTAGAAACTTTTGGCACAGGATTGCAGACTACCTGACATGCAGCTCTTTGTAAAAGTGGCACACCTATGGCTCAGCAGTGGATCGATTGTTGGTCTCCCTGGCCTTCGAGTATGCCTGCCACAGGTCCTCGGCTTTCATTTGGCACTGCTGCTGGTCCCTGTCATACCCCTTCTCCTGCATCCCCTGAGCAATCTGCTCAGACATGTCTTGTCAGCATTTCTACAGCTGGTTCATAGCTGTGCCTGCACAGACTCTTCTCCCCATAGGCCCAGGAGATCCAATATCTCCTGTTTACTTCATGCAGGAGTGTGTCTGGAGCGTGTTGCTGACGTGATCAGCTGGCCAGTTGCACTCAACAATGGAGAGCTGCTAGATGGGCTCACCCTGCCAGGCAACCAGGAAAAGGAATTTAAAAAGTTTGCAGGGCTTTAAAACTGGGGGGAGGGGAGGGCCTTCCACTCTCTGTGACCCCTGGGCAGTGGAGTTCACAGGAGCATTGTGGGACAGCTGCTGGAGGACAGTGTGGGCTGACATAAGTAATGCAGTGTCTACAGAGGCACTCTATTCACTTAAGTACATCGACTATGGCTCTACGCTGCTTGGGGTGGTGGTGTTACTATGTTAGCATAACTGCGAGCTTCCAGCAGTGGGAGACCAATTTAAGTGTAGAGACATGCACAGCTAGGTCAATGTAAGCTGCCTTGCATCAACCTACCTTTGTAGTGTAGACCAAGCCATAGTTTCCAAACAGGCAACTGAACTTTGTATCCAAGACAAAAGTTCAATCTGACACAGAGGTTGTCATGGTCTCTGCTGTACTCCATCCCCAGTGGTGAGAAAGTCCTTTCCCTATAGAATTCAGTCTATTCTCAAACTAAGATAAGAGCATACCCATGAGACCTGCAGGGATCAAATGTATCCTCCCAAATAAGGGGACTCGCACACACATTCCAAACAAGGAAGAATCATCCATGGAGCCCCACACAAAAGGAATCCTCTTCGTGTCCTACAGTAAATGAAATGATTCAACTATGTTTTTTTCTAGCAGGAGAATTAAGTACAGTTCCCCAAGTGAATGCTGCAACATTCTGTAATTCTTTATCAGGTGCAATATGGTATTCTGTCAGGAAAAATAAATAGCTTTTTAAATAATAAAGATTTGTTTTTTTTAAAGGATATAGAAATGATGTCTCAAGTTCCAGTAGGTAGACTTCTTTCTGCAGATTCTTTATGTACTCTGCCTCAATTGAACTCAGCGTGTCCATTTGTCTGCAGAAAGAGAAAGAAAAGCAAAGGTGAGGGTTTTTTTACAAAGCATATTCCAATATACTCTAGAGCAGGGGTAGGCAACCTGCGGCCCACACACAGCCGGTCAGGGTAATCTGCTGGCGGGCTGCAAGACAGTTTGTTTACATTGACCATCTGCAGGCATGGCTCCCCGCAGTTCGCCATTCTCAGCCACTGGGAGATGCGGGAAGTGGCCGCCGCTTGTGGGCTGCAGGTTGCCCACCACTGCTCTAGAGGTTATACCCACAGTGGCATCTGTTTGTCACTGCTCCTTTGAAAATCAACCTTAGCCCCTATGAAAGTAACTGTCTCATTTATGGAAGCTGGCAAATAAACCTGTTACAAAAAAGAGGAGAAAGATGAAGTGTCTAATCTTCTGCTTTTGTGCTACTGGTTCCTCTTACCAAGTAATGGGCCTTCAGATGGCAATACAATCAATGTCAAAAACTCCTTTGTGCCTATGTTTTGTTGTGGTTTAGTTTTTTAATAATTCTTGAGCCACTAGATGAAACAGATCTTACCTTTTGGTTTCAGCAAAGCCATAGTCTATTTTATCTTATCCTTAATACATAAGTTTGCAGTGGTTGGGACAGAAAAACTTGTGATGGGATCTGTATGAAAGTCCATATTTTCTGCCTTTAGTTCTGACTTTAACATATATATATATATCAGAGCTTCAGGTTCTATACTGACTGCAACTTCCAGCCTTAGTTAACTTTTTGACTTTTTTATGACACTTCAATATTTATAGCATAAATCGAACATGTACTTCTGAGATCCATCTTTACTGATTTATTTTCAAACAAACATTTTCCCACCTTAGGTTTAAAAAAAAAAATTAAAACTCCCCCTTCCTCCACTATCCAAATTCAAGAGCTGATTGAAACCAGCATGCAGCCATTCACCTCTGCCTCAGGCTGAGGATGGTGTTTCCTCTTAGGATATGTCTACGCTGTAATTAAAAACTTGTGGCTAGCCTTTGCCGACTGATTGGGCTCCCACCTCGGCAGGGACTAGAGCCTGGGACATCTTCACCACAATTAAACAGCTCTGAGAGCTCGAGCCCTGTGAGCCTGAGTCAGCAGGCATGGGCCAGTCAAGGGTGTCTAATCGCAGTGTAGTCATAAGGGCCAATTCAAGTTTATCTCCATCCTTCAGCAACCTGGAGTTCCCACACTTCTCAGGTGGCAGTTTGCAGACAGCAGGAGCTCAACCAATCAATGACATAGATGGGAGGAGGGAGGGGTTGGTTTGAAGAAAATAAAATCCATGATATATGTTAAGCTGCTTCCTCTGCTTGATTTTTGTAGGTCTCTTATTTCATGCCTTTCAAAAGCTATGACAGAGTCATGTGCCACATCTGGCGTTAATAGTTTGAATGCTGTGCTAAGTATTCAATGCTATTTGCAAATTGTGACCTCCAGGACAGGGTGTTCTCTCAGCTGTGCTCATTCTTCTGAATCACTCCACTCTGGTCTCATCTTCTTGCCCTCCCCCTCCCCCGCCCACAAGGGTTGTTCTGGCAGCTGTCTCTCAACCCCTTGGGACTTCTCCACCTACCATTTCACACTTATTGATGGCCCCTGTGTCTGTCCAGCCACCACATCTGCAGCTTGAACAACGAGCCACCACTTTACAGCTGCACAATAGCACTACGAGCAGAGCCTTGGGGTGGGACTGGAGGAAGGTGACTTCATGTATCTTTCGTACCCTCCTTCCTCTTGGATTCTGGGCTGCTGTGGGGGCTGGGATAGGTATGAGCATGTGTTTTAGCAGCTCCTGAGCTGCTCTTATTTACAGCAGGGCTGTGAAGCAGCCCAGAAATCCCTGTAACATTCAGCACTATGCAGACACACCGCTGCATACTCCTTACACTGCAACAGGGGGGCCAGTTATGACAGCCCTGCATAGCTGCCAACATAGGGAAATTCTCCACAGGACAGTTGTGGCTCCTTTATGGCCCTGAAGCCTCCATAATCTGGCCCTAAAACTTTATTTGCTAAATAGCTGAGGGCCCTAGGCTCCAGTCCTCTGAGTGAAGGGGATACAAACATGCAGCTGCAGGTGTGGAAGAGTGTAAAAGTTCCTAGCAGAGCTAGGCTAGCAAGGGGTGGGAGAGACTAGAGTGCTGCAGAGTAGTGGGAAGGCTTTGTGTACATGGCTCCCCCACACTTCACAGGGCCTAAACTCCTTCCTTGTGAGGGGATATTCAACAGAAGGTTCTGCCAGAGCTTCTAAGTCCCCCTCTTGCATGTTTCTCCAGTGGAGAGAGTGAAGTAGTCCAATAGAGCATTAAAAATATTCCTGGCTCATTTTGTTAATTCCACTGTATTATTAAAAATGAAAGAATATTAAAAAACATTCGTCATTATGCTTATGTTAGACACTGAAAAGGAACAAATCCATCTCTATTGTTTCTAGCCAGTTTTAGTATTTATACCCTATCACAATTTTCTGATGGGTGGGCTGGGCTGAAAACACCACAGAGAATGGATTAGCTTAAAGAAACACTATTTCCCTTGGATTTTAAATCACGGAAACATTTCTGCTGCTCTGAAGTATGGTAAAGTGATACAAAAGTGAAATCTGAGGCCTTCAAATGAAGCTCTTCTCTTTTATCCCCCTTTTAAGGCGTGGAAAGGTGTTAGCAATGTTAACTATAATAATTCAAATTACCCGGAAACAGTGAATTTCAAGCTTCCTTAAAAAGAAAAATTCTAGTTTTGTGATTGTAGGCTATGGGGAGAAGTGATTAATTTCAAAACCATAAACGCCTCACAACCCTGGGTACCCCTGCGGAGTCTCTCACACATCTGTAGACAAACACATCATCAGTGCTCACAATGCAATATCATTTTCCTTATGACTCTGCTGCATGACATATGCCTTCTTCTCCTACGCTTTCTTCTACTGGATTTCCTATGGCTGGAAATTAAAGAGACCAGGTGGGTGAGGTAATATCTTTTATTTCAGTGGTTTTCAAACTGGGGTACGTGTACCTCTAGGGGTACACAAGGTCTCATCAGGGGGTACGTGAGAAAATCCTGTAATGACAGACAAGGTACTTTATTTAGTAAGACCTGGCAATCTAATCATAGGTATATTATGACTATCTCAGCTGGGGGTATGTGGTAGACTACATTATTTGGAAAGGGGTATGCAGCCTAAAAAGTTTGAAAACCACTGTTTTATTGGACCAACTTCTGTTGGTGAGAGAGACAAACTTTCTAGCTTGCACAGAGCTCTTGTTCAGGTCTGGGAAACGTACTTAGAGCATCACAGCTAAATACAAGGTAAAACCAATTGTTTAGCATAAGGAGTTAACACATATTCATATCAAGGGACCATTCAAGGTGAAATGGCCCATTAAGACCTTTCCAGTCATAGGGCGTAAAGGAGAAAAATATGGCTGGAAATCTCATTCTGAGTGAAGATGGAGTTTTTCAAAAGCGTCTAAGGGTATGTCTTCACTATCAATGTTAAAGCGCTGCCGGGCTGTGTAGTCACGGCACCAGCACTGGGAGCACTGTAAAACAGTGCTAGGAGCATTGTAAAAAAACAGCACTGTAAAAAAACCACCCCCACGAGGGGAGTAGCTACCAGCACTGGTGCACTGTCTACACTGCCACTTTACAGGGCTGAAACTTTCTCACTCAGAGCTGTGAAAAAACACACACCTGAGCGAGAAAGTTTTAGCGCTGTAAAGTGGCAGTGTAGACAAGGCCTAAGAGAGTTAGGACATGTCTACACTTGCCATTTCAAGTGGAAAAAGTCCCTTTTTTGCACAAAAACCATGGGAAAGTCTACACTTACCAATGACTTTATGCGGTGAAACTCAGAAGTTTCACTGCAAAAAGAAAACCACATCCATAAGAGGCGTACAGCTCTTATTGGTGATGCTTCTGTGGTGATGTGCAAGTGAAGACACGTTCTTTGTGTTTACACAGCTTTTAGCCTCCTGAGGATATCCCATAGTGCCTAGGTATATAGTATATAGTTCTGTGGTGACCTAGAATCCTCTTTTTGATGTCTCCGACTCAAGGAATATTTCCAACACACCTCTGAACAGCATACTAACCCACAGAGACCTTCCTACCAACACTACAAAAAGAAGGATTCTGGGTGGACTCCTCCTGAAGGTCAAAACAACAGACTGGACTTCTACATAGAGTGCTTCCGTCAACATCCACGGGCTGAAATTGTGGAAAAGCAGCATCACTTGCCCCATAACCTCAGCCATGCAGAACACAATGCCATTCACAGCCTCAGAAACAACTCTGACATCATCATCAAAAGGGCTGACAAAGGAGGTGCTGTTGTCATCATGAACAGGTTGGAATATGAACAAGAGGCTGCTAGGCAGCTCTCCAACACCACTTTCTACAAGCTATTACCCTCTGATCCCACAAAGGGTTACCAAAAGAAACTACACCATCTGCTCAAGAAACTCTGTGAAAAAGCTCAGGAACAAATCCGCACGGACACACCCCTAGAGCCCCGAGCAGGGGTATTCTATCTGCTACCCAAGATCCATAAACCTGGAAATCCTGGACGCCCCATCATCTCAGGCATTGGCACCCTGACAGCAGGATTTTCTGGCTACGTAGACTCTCTCCTCAGGCCCTACACTACCAGCACTCCTAGTTATCTTTGAGACACCACTGACTTCTTGAGGAAACTACAATCCATCGGTGATCTTCCTGAAAACACCATCCTAGCCACTATGGATGTAGAAGCTCTCTACACCAACATTCCACACAAAGATGGACTACAAGCCATCAGGAACAGTATCCCTGATAATGTCATGGCAAACCTGGTGGCTGAACTTTGTTACTTTGTCCTCACCCATAACTATTTCACATTTGGGGACAATGTATACCTTCAAATCAGTGGCACTGCTATGGGTACCTGCATGGCCCCACAGTATGCCAACATGTTTATGGCTGACTTAGAACAATGCTTCCTCAGCTCTCGTCCCCTAATGCCCCTACTCTACTTGCCCCTGCTCTACACTGATGACATCTTCATCATCTGGACCCATGGAAAAGAAGCCCTTGAGGAATTCCACCATGATTTCAACAATTTCCATCCCACCATCAACCTCAGCCTGGACCAGTCCACACAAGAGATCCACTTCCTGGACACTACGGTGCTAATAAGCGATGGTCACATAAACACCACCCTATTCCGGAAACCTACTGACCGCTATACTTACCTACATGCCTCCAGCTTTCATCCAGACCACGCCACACGATCCATTGTCTACAGCCAAGCTCTACGATACAACCGCATTTGCTCCAACCTCATACAGAGACAAACACCTACATGATCTCTATCAAGCGTTCTTACAACTACAATATCCACCTGCTGAAGTGAAGAAACAGATTGACAGAGCCAGAAGAGTACCCAGAAGTCACCTACTACAGGACAGGCCCAACAAAGAAAATAACAGAACGCCACTAGCCATCACCTTCAGCCCCCAACTAAAACCTCTCCAACGCACCATCAAGGATCTACAACCTATCCTGAAGGACGACCCATCACTCTCTCAGACCTTGGGAGACAGGCCAGTCCTTGCTTACAGACAGCCCCCCAGCCTGAAGCAAATACTCACCAGCAACCACACACCACACAACAGAACCTCTTACCTAGGAACCTATCCTTGCAACAAAGCCCGTTGCCAACTGTGTCCACATATCTATTCAGGGGACACCATCATAGGGCCTAATCACATCAGCCACACTATCAGAGGCTCGTTCACCTGCACATACCAATGTGATATGTGCCAGCAATGCCCCTCTGCCATGTACATTAGCCAAACCAGACAATCTCTACATAAAAGAATAAATGGACACAAATCAGACGTCAGGAATTATAACATTCAAAAACCAGTTGGAGAACACTTCAATCTCTCTGGTCACTCGATTACAGACCTAATAGTTGCAATTCTTCAACAAAAAAAACTTCAAAAACAGACTCCAATGAGAGACTGCTGAATTGGAATTAATTTGCAAACTGGACACCATTACATTAGGCTTGAATAGAGACTGGGAGTGGATGTGTCATTACACAAAGTAAAACTATTCCCCCATGTTTATTTCCCCTCCCCCCACCTACTGTTCCTCACACGTTTTTGTCAACTGCTGGAAATGGCCCACCTTGATTATCACTACAAAAGTTTTTTTTTTTTCTCTCCTGCTGGTAATAGCTCACCTTACCTGATCACTCTCGTTACAGAGTATATATAACACCCATTGTTTCAGGTTCTCTGTGTATATAAAATCTCCCCACTGTATTTTCCACTGCATGTATCCGATAAAGTGAGCTGTAGCTCACGAAAGCTTATGCTCAATAAATTTGTTAGTCTCTAAGGTGCCACAAGTCCTCCTTTTCTTAGTGCCTCGGTGAGCACTCTAGCCAGCAGCTCTGCTGCTCTGATGCCAGGTAAACAGAAATCCACTCCTCCCCCTGTAAAGCCCTGGGAACTTTGAAACTCCCCTTTGTGTTTTCTTGGCAAGTGCTTACTTATCAGGTGACAATTCCTGCTCCCGATCCCCTACTTGGAGCAATGCTGAGCTACTGGAGCTTTTCAGTGTCTGGGGAGAGGAGGCTGTGCAGGCACCCAGGATGTCCTGCGATCACCCCCCTCCCTTCCCACAAGACCCATTTTCAGACTGGAGAGAGCAGCTCTGTGGGATGGCTGCCCTAGAGCCCTGTGAAGTGCTGCTAATGTAAACACTCTCTGACGCCTAAGGAATTAAGTGAGTACACAAACCAGCGCTTTATTTTCCCCGGTTCCCTAACACTGGTGAAACTTATAGTCCAAAAACTCTGCAAGTGTAGACATACCCTTAAGAACCAAACTCCCATTGACTTTCCCTTCAGCATATTTAAAAGTCCTACCCCCCACTCTCATCTTAAAAAACCCCAAAACATTTCTTCCATGAGCCTTATCTCACCTATTCTCTTCCATCAAGGAGGCTTAGGCCAGGCAGGTCTACAAAAACACTGCAGAGGCACCGCTGTAGCACTTCAATGAAGATGCTACTACGCCAATGGGAGGAGCTTTTCCTGTCGGCATAGTTAATCCACCTCCGTGAGAGGCTGTAACTATTGCATGGAAGAAGCTCTCCTGCCAGCATAGTGCTGTCTACATTGGGGTTTAGGTTGGTATAACTGCATTACTCGGGAGGTGTGTATTTTTCACACCCCTGAATGACATAGTTATACCAATGTAAGTTTATAGTGTAGACCTGGCCTTAGAAAAATAAGGAGGGAGGGAAAAAAAGCTTAACATCCTTACTCTGGCCCCGATCCAGCAAAGCACTTAAGCAAGTGAATAGTCCTACTGAATCAACTGGAATTAATCATATTTAAAATTAAGCATATGCTTAAATGCCTTGTTAAATCAGGGCCAGAGTGTTCAGCATGTTGCAAAAAATCAAACTCTTAGTCTGTAACTTGTTTCCTAATTTGTATACCACCTCCTTCTCCTGTACATTGTCTTAGACTATAAGTTCTTTGAGACAAGGACTCTGTGACATTTGTCTACACTACAAGGCACTTAGCACACTTTTGAGACTATACAAATAATAACTTTTCTGTTAAACAAGGAACACCAAGAGGATTCTAATCTTCACATATACCAGGAAAGCAATTTTAAAAGGTAGTTTAATTTGGGGGGAAGAGTTGCTAGTAGCTTTATAGTAAGCAAATGGTCTGACAAATCTATACAAGTAAAGAGTCAATTGGGCTCCAGCAGTAGGTAATGTGCATCTAGAGTCAGACTATAATACAGTGCTAAATATCTTTTTGAAACAAAGTCACAGAAATCCCTAAGGGAAGTTATACTGCTGTTCTACTCACTTGAAACTAGGTGCCAGGTTGCGTGTGTGAGTCATTTTTGAAGCACAGAATTTCTTTGACTTTTCTGGAATTAGAAATGACACAGTACACTCAGTTAAGCACACACTAGGAATACATCATTGATGCGGATACTTAATTGACATGATCTTTAAAATTCAAAGGTCTGATGCACACTTTCAACTTTCCTAATGTTTAGATGCATCTTGAAGTGTTAAATTCTGCTCACCTTGTTTATGGGTCTAATTCTACCGATTTCAATATCGTGATAGGATTATGCACATAAACAAAGTGAGCAGAATTGGGCTAACATTCTCTCTCCTCGCCCTGTGGGGTTTTTTGGTCTTATATTTGACTATGCTGTGTTATATTAAAATAACATACATCTTTAGCAAAAAGAAAAGGAGTACTTGTGGCACCTTAGAGACTAACCAATTTATTTGAGCATGAGCTTTCGTGAGCTACAGCTCACTTCATCAGATGCATACCGTGGAAACTGCAGCAGACTTTATATATACACAGAGAATATGAAACAATACCTCCTCCCACCCCACTGTCCTGCTGGTAATAGCTCAACCCACCCAGCAATATTGTTAACCTATCCAACTATACTCTCAGCCCAGCAGAAGCAGCTGTTCTATCTCGGGGCCTCTCCTTCTGCCCCTCCACCCCCACGAACATGATACAGTTCTGTGGTGACCTAGAATCCTATTTTCGACGTCTCCAACTCAAGGAATATTTCCAACATACCTCTGAACAACATACTAATCCACAGAGGTCTCCCTACCAACACTACAGAAAGAGGGATTCTAGATGGACTCCTCCTGAAGGTCGAAACAGCAGACTGGACTTCTACATAGAGTGCTTCCGCCGACGTGCACGGGCTGAAATTGTGGAAAAGCAGCATCACTTGCCCCATAACCTCAGCCATGCGGAACGCAATGCCATCCACAGCCTCAGAAACAACTCTGACATCATAATCAAAAAGGCTGACAAAGGAGGTGCTGTTGTCATCATGAATAGGTCGGAATATGAACAAGAGGCTGCTCGGCAGCTCTCCAACACGAGTTTCTACAAGCCATTACCCTATGATCCCACTGAGAGTTACCAAAAGCAACTACAGCATTTGCTCAAGAAACTTCCTGAAAAAGCACAAGATCAAATCCGCACAGACACACCCCTGGCACCCCAACCTGGGATATTCTATCTACTACGCAAGATCCATAAACCTGGAAATCCTGGGCGCCCCATCATCTCAGGCATTGGCACCCTGACAGCAGGATTGTCTGGCTATGTAGACTCCCTCCTCAGGCCCTACGCTACCAGCACTCCCAGCTACCTTTGAGACACCATTGACTTCCTGAGGAAACTTCAATCCATCGGTGATCTTCCTGATAACACCATCCTGGCTACTATGGATGTAGAAGCCCTCTACACCAACATTCCACACAAAGATGGACTACAAGCCGTCAAGAACACTATCCCCGATAATGTCACGGCTAACCTGGTGGCTGAACTTTGTGACTTTGTCCTTACCCATAACTATTTCACATTTGGGGACAATGTATACCTTCAGATCAGCGGCACTGCTATGGGTACCCGCATGGCCCCACAGTATGCCAACATTTTTATGGCTGATTTAGAACAACGCTTCCTCAGATCTCTTCCCCTAACGCCCCTACTCTACTTGCGCTATATTGATGACATCTTCATCATCTGGACCCATGGAAAAGAAGCCCTTGAGGAATTCCACCATGATTTCAACAATTTCCATCCCACCACCAACCTCAGCCTGGTCCAGTCCACACAAGAGATCCACTTCCTGGACACTACAGTGCTAATAAACAATGGCCACATAAACACCACCCTATACCGGAAACCTACTGACCGCTATTCCTACCTGCATGCCTCCAGCTTTCACCCTGACCACACCACAGGATCCATCGTCTACAGCCAAGCTCTGCGATACAACCGCATTTGCTCCAACCCCTCAGACAGAGACAAACACCTACAAGATCTCTGTCAAGCTTTCTTACAACTACAATACCCACCTGCAGAAGTAAAGAAACAGATTGATAGAGCCAGAAGAGTTCCCAGAAGTTACCTACTACAGGACAGGCCTAACAAAGAAAATAACAGAACGCCACTAGCGGTCACCTTCAGCCCCCAACTAAAACCCCTCCAACGCATTATTAAGGATCTACAACCTATCCTAAAGGATGACCCAACACTCTCACAAGTCTTGGGAGACAGGCCAGTCCTTGCCTACAGACAGCCCCGCAACCTGAAGCAAATACTCACCAACAACCACATACCACACAACAGAACCACTAACCCAGGAACTTATCCTTGCAACAAAGCCCGTTGCCAATTGTGCCCACATATCTATTCAGGGGACACCATCACAGGGCCTAATAACATCAGCCACACTATCAGAGGCTCGTTCACCTGCACATCCACCAATGTGATATATGCCATCATGTGCCAGCAATGCCCCTCTGCCATGTACATTGGTCAAACTGGACAGTCTCTACGTAAAAGAATAAATGGACACAAATCAGATGTCAAGAATTATAACATTCATAAACCAGTCGGAGAACACTTCAATCGCTCTGGTCACGCAATCACAGACATGAAGGTCGCTATCTTAAAACAAAAAAACTTCAAATCCAGACTCCAGCGAGAAACTGCTGAATTGGAATTCATTTGCAAATTGGATACTATTAATTTAGGCTTAAATAGAGACTGGGAGTGGCTAAGTCATTATGCAAGGTAGCCTGTTTCCTCTTGTTTTTTCCTACCCAACCCCCCCACCCCCCAGATGTTCTGGTTTAACTTGGATTTAAACTTGGAGAGTGGTCAGTTTAGATGAGCTATTACCAGCAGAAGAGTGAGTTTGTGTGTGTATGGGGGTGGGGGGGATGTGAGAAAACCTGGATTTATGCAGGAAATAGCCCGACTTGATTATGTAAAGAGTTCATAGAATCATAGAATCATAGAATATAAGGGTTGGAAGGGACCCCAGAAGGTCATCTAGTCCAACCCCCTGCTCGAAGCAGGACCAATTCCCAGTTAAATCATCCCAGCCAGGGCTTTGTCAAGCCTGACCTTAAAAACCTCTAAGGAAGGAGATTCTACCACCTCCCTAGGTAACGCATTCCAGTGTTTCACCACCCTCTTAGTGAAAAAGTTTTTCCTAATATCCAATCTAAACCTCCCCCACTGCAGCTTGAGACCATTACTCCTCGTTCTGTCATCTGATACCATTGAGAACACTCTAGAGCCATCCTCTTTGGAACCCCCTTTCAGGTAGTTGAAAGCAGCTATCAAATCCCCCCTCATTCTTCTCTTCTGCAGGCTAAACAATCCCAGTTCCCTCAGCCTCTCCTCATAACTCATGTGTTCCAGACCCCTAATCATTTTTGTTGCCCTTCGCTGGACTCTCTCCAATTTATCCACATCCTTCTTGAAGTGTGGGGCCCAAAACTGGACACAGTACTCCAGATGAGGCCTCACCAATGTCGAATAGAGGGGAACGATCACGTCCCTCGATCTGCTCGCTATGCCCCTACTTATACATCCCAAAATGCCATTGGCCTTCTTGGCAACAAGGGCACACTGCTGACTCATATCCAGCTTCTCGTCCACTGTCACCCCTAGGTCCTTTTCCGCAGAACTGCTGCCTAGCCATTCGGTCCCTAGTCTGTAGCTGTGCATTGGGTTCTTCTGTCCTAAGTGCAGGACCCTGCACTTATCCTTATTGAACCTCATCAGATTTCTTTTGGCCCAATCCTCCAATTTGTCTAGGTCCTTCTGTATCCTATCCCTCCCCTCCAGCGTATCTACCACTCCTCCCAGTTTAGTATCATCCGCAAATTTGCTGAGAGTGCAATCCACACCATCCTCCAGATCATTTATGAAGATATTGAACAAAACCGGCCCCAGAACCGACCCTTGGGGCACTCCACTTGATACCGGCTGCCAACTAGACATGGAGCCATTGATAACTACCCGTTGAGCCCGACAATCTAGCCAGCTTTCTACCCACCTTGTAGTGCATTCATCCAGCCCATACTTCCTTAACTTGCTGACAAGAATACTGTGGGAGACCGTGTCAAAAGCTTTGCTAAAGTCAAGAAACAATACATCCACTGCTTTCCCTTCATCCACAGAACCAGTAATCTCATCATAGAAGGCGATTAGATTAGTCAGGCATGACCTTCCCTTGGTGAATCCATGCTGGCTGTTCCTGATCACTTTCCTCTCATGCAAGTGCTTCAGGATTGATTCTTTGAGGACCTGCTCCATGATTTTTCCAGGGACTGAGGTGAGGCTGACTGGCCTGTAGTTCCCAGGATCCTCCTTCTTCCCTTTTTTAAAGACTGGCACTACATTAGCCTTTTTCCAGTCATCCGGGACTTCCCCGGTTCGCCACGAGTTTTCAAAGATAATGGCCAATGGCTCTGCAATCACAGCCGCCAGTTCCTTCAGCACTCTCGGATGCAACTCGTCCGGCCCCATGGACTTGTGCACGTCCAGCTTTTCTAAATAGTCCCTAACCACCTCTATCTCCACAGAGGGCTGTCCATCTCTTCCCCATTTTGTGATGCCCAGCGTAGCAGTCTGGGAGCTGACCTTGTTAGTGAAAACAGAGGCAAAAAAAGCATTGAGTACATTAGCTTTTTCCACATCCTCTGTCACTAGTTTGCCTCCCTCATTCAGTAAGGGGCCCACACATTCCTTGGCTTTCTTCTTGTTGCCAACATACCTGAAGAAACCCTTCTTGTTACTCTTGACATCTCTGGCTAGCTGCAGCTCCAGGTGCGATTTGGCCCTCCTGATAACATTCCTACATGCCCGAGCAATATTTTTATACTCTTCCCTGGTCATATGTCCAACCTTCCACTTCTTGTAAGCTTCTTTTTTATGTTTAAGATCTGCTAAGATTTCACCATTAAGCCAAGCTGGTCGCCTGCCATATTTACTATTCTTTCGACTCATTGGGATGGTTTGTCCCTGTAACCTCAACAGGGATTCCTTGAAATACAGCCAGCTCTCCTGGACTCCTTTCCCCTTCAAGTTAGTCCCCCAGGGGATTCTGGCCATCCGTTCCCTGAGGGAGTCGAAGTCTGCTTTCCTGAAGTCCAGGGTCCGTATCGTGCTGCTTACCTTTCTTCCCTGTGTCAGGATCCTGAACTCAACCAACTCATGGTCACTGCCTCCCAGATTCCCATCCACTTTTGCTTCCCCCACTAATTCTACCCGGTTTGTGAGCAGCAGGTCAAGAAAAGCGCCCCCCTAGTTGGCTCCTCTAGCACTTGCGCCAGGAAATTGTCCCCTACGCTTTCCAAAAACTTCCTGGATTGTCTATGCACCGCTGTATTGCTCTCCCAGCAGATATCAGGAAAATTAAAGTCACCCATGAGAATCAGGGCATGCGATCCAGTAGCTTCCGTGAGCTGCCGGAAGAAAGCCTCATCTACCTCATCCCCCTGGTCCGGTGGTCTATAGCAGACTCCCACCACTACATCACTCTTGTTGCACACACTTCTAAACTTAATCCAGAGACACTCAGGTTTTTCTGCAGTTTCGTACCGGAGCTCTGAGCAGTCATACTGCTCCCTTACATACAGTGCTACTCCCCCACCTTTTCTGCCCTGCCTGTCCTTCCTGAACAGTTGTCACTTTGGATGGGCTAGCACCAGCAGGAGAGTGAATTTGTGTGGGGGGTGGAGGGTGAGAAAACCTGGATTTGTGCTGGAAATGGCCCACCTGATGATCACTTTAGATAAGCTATTACCAGCAGGACAGTGGGGTGGGAGGAGGTATTGTTTCATATTCTCTGTGTATATATAAAGTCTGCTGCAGTTTCCACGGTATGCATCTGATGAAGTGAGCTGTAGCTCACGAAAGCTCATGCTCAAATAAATTGGTTAGTCTCTAAGGTGCCACAAGTACTCCTTTTCTTTTTGCGAATACAGACTAACACGGCTGTTACTCTGAAAACCATACATCTTTAGGTTTCTAAACTCTTTTTTTACTTTGATGGCAGTTTTGACTCACTCTATTGTCTCTCTCTCACAGATGTTCAGAAATAAGATTATCTTTAATTGTGATTAATACCAAGCACTAAATGTTTTGCATGAAATTCACATATTTTATTAAAAAAAGAGATACAGTGTGAGGTGGCTTTGTATATCAATTTTCATTTAGAGATGAAAATATCCTAAAAATCAAGCAGCCTAAATATTTCTAATGCACACTCCAATTCACATGCATAGGAAAGTGAAACGTTAAGTAGTCACGCTTGAGTTTCCACTTTTGGAAGTTTGTCCAATGAAGTAAAATCCTGCCACTCAATGGGGTGACATGGATTTTGTTTTAGCATATCACAACCCAATTTTCCCACAGGATTATGTTTTTCAAGCTTCAGAACTGATTCCAGAGCTGGTCCCCCAAATACTGCTGCTGACGCATGGAATCTCCCTGAGGAAATCAATATAATGTTGGAAATAACAGGACAGATGGCAGCCTTAGGTTGAGTGATCCACGTGTTGAATTAATTAATTTAAGGGCAAGTTACAGCTGTCCGTAGTCCATACTGGGTCAAAATTCCCTGCGTGGGGAAGGATTTCAGGATTTGATCCTCAGGGCTGAATTTGGGTTGTGCAGGATGAATGTCACTGATGAATTGGGCCATCAGTCAATAAAGTGCTTTGGGATCCTTCCAGATGAAAGGTGCAATATAAATATAGGTAATTATTGTCATTCCTCCTTCCTCCCTTTCCCCACACTGTCTGTCCTGCTTCTTTACTAATAACATAGATTCTAGCTGTCTGGGGCTTCAGGTCTGATTCAGTTGGAAGCATTTTTATTCTATGCCACAGCTCATTTTTGTCTCAAAATAAAGTAAAATGACCCGCTGGTCTCCTTTGCAACTTGCCTCCATCAGAGCAGGATCTTCATTACAGTCTAGTCCCAAGGGCAGTCCTCTCCCAGTTCCCCCCAGCACTGACAGCACACTGGTCATTCACACACAAGCAGACAGCATTGCTGGGCTTCAGGACTTACCAGGCTGCATCTCTTACATGTATTGTTCAGAAGAAGGAACAGCGCAGAAGAATAACAGCCTAAATGCCTTGGGAGGTTGGAAACTCTTGCTGTCTGTGCCCAGCCCTGTTTGCCAGCCTTGCTGCTGCTATAGAAACCATTTACCAGCGCAGACTCCTTTCTGCAGAGAGGGCTGGTGCTGCATTACACTGGCCACTGGGGGCTCAGTTTACTCCATCTAAAGGGCCGTAGGATTTTTGAAGGGTGTAGGTAGCTGCTGGGATGGATTGAGGCAGAAAAAAATATTATTGTTCCCCTTTAACTGGGGATGCAATTGATCAGATGGGACAGTAAAATAGAATTAATAAGAAAATTAGAAATAGGAAGATTGTGGAGAAAATCAGCCACCAAAGGAGTATCCAAACTCCTACATCATACAGTTTTATGCTTTTCCATCTGTGGTTGTCTTTGAGTGGGGAAGCTATGTAGTAAACTAGGTAAAGCTTGGCAGCCTGATGAGGCTACTGCAGTATTGCCAGCCCCAAGTGGAAAAAATAATTGGAAACCCCAAAATCACAGCTTTGGCTTTAAACTCATGACAGTTTAAAAACCTGTTGGGGGTCTTTTCATTTGCCTCCTGGTTTTTGAGTCTTTAGGGTTGTCTGCAGCCATGAAATCCCTTTAGCCTGGGTCCAGCACTTCCCCCAGTTCAGTCTTTGTTCTTCAGGTGTTTCCCGGAGTCCTCTTATGTGGGGAGTGAAGAACAACAGATGATGTCACTCCCTGCCTTATATAGCTTTAGCATATGGCGGGAACCCTTTGTTTCAAAACTTGGTTCCCAGACTGGTTTGTGGAAAAATACTGACATCCCAAGCTGGAGTCCAGCATCATGTGGCCTGGTTACATGTCCTTGTAGAGTTATAGCAGTCATTACTTACAGGCTATCTGTAGGGTTCTCAGGAAGGCTCAGCAGTTGGGAGATAAGCTTCTCCTAAGGCCTGTTGTTTTCCCTAATGGCTCATTGCCCTGAATAGGCCCAATCAGCTGTCTAGGCTGGAAGCATCTTGTCAAGTGGGCGTTACCTAGTTGCAACTACATTTGAAGTACAGATGCATAGTCGGTATTCATAACTGCAGATAAAAAATGATACATGCATCCAAATAGGATAATCATATGCAGCAAATCATAACTTTTCGAATGACACCTTACATGAACCGTCTTGAATAAAATACATCATAATTAGGCTATAATATCATAATAATATCACTATGAAGAATATGGGGTGCAGTGTCATTTACAGGACTCCAGTGTCTGGGGCTTTTAAGAAAAAACACCGCATATTGCAATCATGAGAGCTGGCAACATGGTTACTGATACTGTCATGTTTATTTAGCTCTCTCACTGTATTATAGGCAGAGCTGATAGTGTTGCCAGTTCTTAAGGTTGCCTATCACTTCCAATGATAAGACCCTCTTTTCACAGTTGCTTAGAACTTTGCCAGATTTAACCATTCAGACTGAAATTTCCTGTACCGTATGTCTGCCTGGACTTTTGGGGAAAGTTTCAGCAAAAATGGTTCTGCTATTTCTGAGCATGAGATTAGGGAAAAAAATTTTTTTTTCTCCTTCATGTTAAAAGAAGTTACACAACCATTTCACTGGGGAGAAACTCTGGTGCCTCCATGGTTTGGCATGTGCTTGAGATGGGATGGTATTTGTGCCAAGGATGTGCCTTTTGCTGTTCCCAGGAAAAAAACTATTCAAATTTGACCAATTTATAAATTTCTGAAAAATCTCGGTTTTCACATGCTCAGCAAAAACTTGTTATAGAATTTGGCAGATAAATTCTCTGAAGAGTCCATCTGCACTGAGCATGCTCCTTCCCAGAGCTGTAGGGGCTAAGCAGGACTTTCCCTGCAGTATCTACTCCTGGCTGTTGTGGCACCAAACACAGGAATTGAGAGCACGGAGACTGTCTCCTCTGTACTCTCAATGTTCCCTCTGCTGGTGCCCAGGAAGCAAGGAGTGAGGATGCCTTCTAACTCAAATGCGAAGGTGAAGAGGCAGATTTGAAGGAGCGTTGTAGAGTATAATGGGACAAGGAACCTGGAGGAGGGTGGGAACTAGGACTGGGGGGAGAATAGGACAGGAGATTGAGGGGTAGAGGGAAGACTGGAACTGGTAGGCAAGAAGATTGGGGATTAGGAGTCAGTGAAGAGGGGGAAAGCTAGGAGCCAGTGGGGTAGACAGATTGGACAATAAACCAGGGGGTGGGACTGGGACTCAGATTGGCTGGGCAAGGAGACTGGGACAGGAGCCTGGAGGGATTCGATTGAGATAGGATGAGGAGCCTAGCAGGGAGGTAGACTGGGACATGGACAGGCCACCTAGAGGGGGAGACTAGGTCTGAGATGTGAAGCCAGAGGGATGGAAACTAAAAGAGACAGGAAGCGGGAGGAGGTGTTCCGTAATGGCAAGGGAGCTGGACTGGGAGGCAGGAGACCTGCTGTGTAATATTGGCCAAGTTGCTAGAAGAGACAGGAAGAGGACAGGTTGGAAGGGTTGGGGCAGAAGGATTCAGGTCATGGGGAAAGAGAGGCAGGTAGGTCTATGACCACTGCATCAAAGTCATCTGACCTCTGGAATAGAACCCAAGATTCCTGAGTCTCACCAGTCCCTTTGGCATCAGCAAACAGCTGTTAAAACCGCTAGGAAAAGTGTGTGTCCCACCCTCCTCTAATGCTGTTCTACATAGAGGATAATAACCCACTACTGCTATCTGTTACACTGTTAGCGCAAATAGCAGAGATCTGTGTTGTAGAACTAAAGGTTCCAACCCTGTTGATGAACCATGTGGGTGTCAATATGATTTCACATGGTGGAATTTCTGTTTCCTCAGTTTGCTTTTAATAAAACCTAAGAAATTACATTAAAAAAACCCCTATGTTAAAAGAACACTTAAGATTGCAACATCAAGCACTCAACATTTAGAACAGGTCAAAATTAAGGTTGCCTATGTAACCTTCATTTGGCTCCCTTGTGCACATGTGTTATGTTATGTTACAGTCTTTAATTACATGATCACATACTATTTCTTCCACAGGACCCCTGCCTCACTCAGTACACTGAATGGATGGTGGTCAGGGGATGAATCACAGCTGTACAGTGAAGGAGACTCTTGTATGTAGGACCCCTGCCTTATTTGTTGTAGAAGCTAAGTGTGGGTGATGAATGAGGCAGGGATTACAGGAAGAAAAAGGATGATCTCATGGTTAGGGCACTTGAATACTGCCCTGATGAATTGGATTCAATCCCTCTCTCTGCCACAGAGTTTCTGTACGATGCTGGGCCAGGCCCCCGCCAATAATCAGCAGGGGCACAGAACTCCTGTGGGGCCTGGGCAGGGGGAATTGAGAGCTCCTCCAGCCCTGGGGGCAGGGCGGGGAGCGCACGAGAGCTCCTCCCGCCCTGGGGCTGCGGCAGGAGGAACATAATGTGCCCCTCTAACAGCAGTCAAATTCTTATTCCTGTGCATACCCCTGTGCTGGGCAAGTCACTGACACGAAACTTTTCAGAAGTGATCACTAATTGTGTGTTCCTCACTTTCTGAGTGCCCAAACTGAGACACCTGGGGTCTGATTTGCAGAAGCGCCGAGCACTCACAGCTGCAACTGCAGTCAATGGGAGCTTTGAACATATAAAATGTTATATAATGCTAAGTATGCTGAAAAATCAGGTTGGAGGTATGTCAAATTGGGCGCCCAAATTAACGGATACTTTTAACCTTACATCTCTTTGTGTATCCCAGCTGTAAAATAGGGAGAATAGTACCCCCTCATCTCACAAGGATGTTATAAAGATAAACTCACTGTTTGTGATACTCTTGGTTGCTATAATGAGGAGCACTGTAGAAGAGCCCAGGAAGGAATTAATAATTCTGTATTCAGAGCAGGTGTGCTGTGAATGGTGTGCAGTAAATAAGGCAATGAGAATAATGCCAAATAGTTGCTCATTAAGTGTACACTATCCATCCTGTGAACTGAATGATCTAAGGGTCCTGTGGAAAAAATAGTATGTGCTCATGTAATTAAAGATGATCACAATGCGCAAGTGGGTTGAGTTAAAGTTGCACCAGCACCCTTAACTCTGGCATTTACTAACTTTGCTCCATTTTGCAACCTGAACGTTCTTTTTTCATCACATCTTTTTAACAAGGCGTGGCTATTTTGATTGAAATGAAGTTGCAGCACCCCTCTGCCCCTGCCCCACCATCTCTTTGCAGTTTGGCTCTGGTGGAAGTCAGGAGTGCTAGGAAAAAGAACAGGAGGACTTGTGGCACCTTAGAGACTAACCAGTTTATTTGAGCATAAGCTTTCGTGAGCTACAGCTCACTTCATCGGATGAAGTAATAAATTGGTTAGTCTCTAAGGTGCCACAAGTACTCCTTTTCTTTTTGCGAATACAGACTAACACGGCTGTTACTCTGAAACCTGTCATTATGCAAGGAGTGCTAGGAGCGACTGCTCCATCTCTTGCCTGACTGCAGCAGCTCGTCTGCTGTATTGCAGTGACATGGGAGAAAGAGCGGCTCCAAGTGGGCTCTCTCTCTCCCTTTCTCTTTGCAGCAAGGTGCTCCGCTGCCCCGGCCTGCCCCTGGGGGGAAGCCTCGCACTCAGCAGCAAAGCTTTCTGTTCGAGTTCTCCCCCCGGAAAGAAGTCTCCATGTGAGTTGAGGGAAGCCCAGTAGCTGCTTGTTATGGGGGGGTGGAGACACAGTGTGAGTTTTCTGGGGAGAAGGGGCTTGGGGATCACAGTATCAGTTGGCTGGAGGAGGCACAGGCTGAGTTTTCTGTGCATGGTGGAAGGTAGCATCAGTTCAGTTGGCTCATGTGTGGGTGGAGTGGGCAAAGGATCAATCGAATGGGACCATGTGCCCAGAGGTGACGCATCTTTAAAAAATGCTTTAATGTTATGTTTGTGTATCTAGGGCAAACATGACTGTGGGCGGGGCCTAGAGTTTCCAGTGCATGTTGGCTGGGTGGCTTTCAGTGGGAAGTCAGGGTAATTTCAGGTGTCCGTGTGTTTCCTGGCTAGTTTCCATGGTTCTACAATGGCACTTCTCTGTTATTACGTGGCGACTCAAAAAATAACAGG